AAGAAAAAGAAATTTGGAGGGTCTCACATTTACAATTAAATGCTCTGGCACAACTCATTGGCTAGATCCAGGCACACAGGTTCATCGCCCAAAAGTAAGACAAGACCATAATCCTATGATATGCCCAAGAGGAGGAAAACCTGAACTATTTGGCAAACTGTACTAATAACTCCCACTTGAACATTTTAACCTTCAACAGGCAGAATTTCAGGGGATAGGATGATTTTTTTTTAAGTGAATTAGATGGAGAAAAGTTCAAAGGAAATGCTTTCCTGGTTAAGAGGAGGGAAGGGTTACCGTGATTTTTACCAACTGATTAAACACAACAATAAAAAACATTATTCAATATATGGAAAGCTATCCTTACCTCTCCCAACCTGGCCTTGGCTCTCACCATTGGCTAAGTTGTACCTGGCAATGGGAGAAACTTCAGAAAGTGTATCAGTTCTTTCAAGTTGTTAGGATACTATACTGTCTTTATGACAAGTTATAAGCTGAGCTATAGACAATTCCACATATCCATAAATCTTTGACAGATAGAGAAATAAAATGGACTCTTTTAAGGTGAGACATTAAATAATTAAATCCTAAAATGATTTAACAAATTAACAACCCTAACCAGGTAGCTTACAGGGGATATGAGGGACCCTTTGTTCTGCCAAAAAATTCTATAGTTGTGCGTTGTATCAGCTCTGGAGATCCCCGAACTTCAGGTAGCCCTTCAGCCTTTCATTCACTACTTCACCGAGAGTCAGAGCAGCTGCCTAGTTCTGTGTGTTAGACAGTTTAAGTTATTCTTCCCTCTCTCCACTCCCTTCCCTCCTGACATGCACATGTGGTGAAGTCTCAAATGTGGTTAAGGGAGAAATATATGGAGTGTGACGAGACATACAAAATTTCAATGTTTAGAAAACAGCAAGTATGATGAAATAAAACTGGACATAAATAATAGCACTCAGAAATATATGGTAAACTTTTAAGTGGGGGATACTGTAAAGAATGAATGAAAAATGAAGGTGAAAAAAAAAAATAAACACCACTGGTATCAAAGCATGCTCAAGTCAAAATAAATAATTTTATTTTAAAATGATTTAAAATCCATTGTTAGAGACAATCATTTCAAGCATGGAAACATGACACAGAACTTTGAGCTGGAACCACGCTCAAGCTAAATGTATGCTTTGGGCTGTGTTTGGCTCCTTTGAATGAATCAATTGGTATATCTCTAAACAGATTCTGAAACACTACATGAAAATAAGAGTCTGTAACTTAGATGGCTGGAGAACAATGATTTGTGATTTCCATTTGCTGAATCCTTCTATGTACAAAATTACCTACAGATTAGTAGTAACTTACATTTCGGTTTATTTTTTTAATATTTGTGGCTTTGTCAAGAATTAATAGAGACAGATGAGATATGCATTTGAAACAAATCACTCCTCTAAAGGAGCTTAAAAAGTATACAAGGAGAAGTAACTGGGAAGCCAGAAGAAACTTAGAACAAAGTTGAAAGTCAAGATCTCCTTCATGTCTGCTATCCACTACATTTGCCAGTGCTGACACCTGCCCCTAAAGCTGACTCAGTCCATGGAGACCTCAAGCCTTGACACCAGCCAAGAATCTGCAGCTCTGAGGCTCCCTGCACCTCAGGGGGAGCCAGGAGAAACTCCAGAGGAAGGCTCTACCTGCAGCGTAAAGACAGATGTTGAAAAGCTACAAGATGATGCCTTTGGCAGAACCCTCTCTGGCAATGGGAAGATGTCCAGGTACATTTCCAGCAACTTCACCCTCCTTGGGAAGTTGGGCTCTAGGAGAACTCTCGATAACTTCCAGAAGGCCACGAGGGACTTTTTTGACATTCTTTCCAGTGAAGAAGTTCTGGACCACCCCTTATGTGAGGACTGTACTGACAATCTTTTCGAGCTGCTGAGTAACCAACTCACTATTTCAGAACCTGAGAGTCAGAACTACTAAAGCTATTTGGGGAATAGGGAGAGAATAAGTGAGGACAAAAGGGAGACGCTGTAGCAGGAGCTGAAGGATGTGGAGCTGGAGGAAGCAAGACTGGTCCAGGAGCTGGAGAAAGTGAAGAGGAACCAAGAAAGAACAGCCATGACTCCAGAGACTGAGATCCTAGACCAGCAGGAAAAAGTACCATAGGGACTGTGTTAACTCTAATGGCAACAAGGGAACTGCATGACGAGCTTAAGAGCTTAGAGAATTGGCTGCCATACACCTAAACCCAGCTAGCCTGGCTGGAGAAAACCAGTACCTTCAAGTCAACATTTGAGATCTGCCATAATGGCTCCTTGGCCATCATCAATGACCTCAGATTGGGCTGCCTCCCCACTGTCCTCGTATACTGGAATGAAGTTAACATGGCTTGGGGGCTCCTGGCCCTAACACGGTCTGCAGTTTCAGAGACATCAACCCATCTCCTGCAGAAACCATTCCTATCTGAAGTCTTTAACATTGAGCTGCCCTTGTTCTGTAACAGGGACCAGTGTGCTCTCTTGTATAACAAATCTGACCAGGCAATGATGGCTTTCCTGGCCGGCATGCAGTGGTCAAGGAAAAAGCCAAGAAAGGCAAGCCCAGCCTCTGCCTGTCCTAAGGATCCATGTGGAGAAAGGCCTGATAGAAGACCCTGGAGCCAGTGGTGAATTCTGTTCCATTAGAACCCTTGGACACAGAGGAGCTGGACAAAGACCCACAAGCTTCTGCTTACATATTTTAAGTGGAGTCTCACGTGGATCTCCTTAAGGTATTATCAAAATACATATATTTTTTCTATGAGATAGATTTTTTGCTTTAATATATTTTACTTGTGAACATCTTATCAGATCAATGGGAAAACTGAAGAATATAACAGGTTTATAATTTTAATAATAAATGACCACACAGACGTTAGTTTAAGGATAATGAAGGTATTGCCCAGAGTAGACCGAAAGTCACTGCCATCTGCCCCAGCACAACTCGGCCTCCCTTGGCCCTTCCTCCTCCCTCTTCCCTTCCTAGAATAACAAAATGACAGCCGAGATTGAATTACAAGGGGATGGGATGGAGGGTTGTACAGGGAAAGAACTGAGGGTAGGGATGAGAGGAGAGAGGGTGGTAAACAATAGGTGGAGGTATTCACATTTTTTATGAGAAAATAAAAGTAAATGGGTCACTGCTGTTTGTAGTAGCACTTTGGGAGGGGGCATATTCAAAGCTTTTAAAGTTTTTGTTGTGATGTATGGTGTCAACCTCCCTCCCCCTTCATCCCTGAGCAACTTCAAATAAATTTCTATACATTCTGCAAAAATAAAAAAATTAAAAGTAAAAATTGATAGCAGAAAAATAAACGTTTCCCACTAACAATGAGAAGTCCATAGAATTAGTAAAACATCTGCAAATGTTAAATTTTCCCACATTTTCTGAAGGCTTGCAATGAAAACACACACACACACATTTTTTTTCAAATCTTTTAAAACATTTCATCTTGTTTTTCAACTGGAGGAAGTCACCCTTTCTTCGGCTGTGTGTTAGGAGTTAGCACTGCAGGAGGTATTGCGTTGGGTGAATGGGCTTGGCAGAGGGAACTCTTCATGCCAAAAGTTGCAAAACAACACAAAAAATAAATGGACTGTCCAGAGGTAAAAATAAAACAAAATTCAAGGTCAACATGCCTGATGAGATAATGCAAAGGACATGGCCGTTATATATTTAGCTATGGAGAACAGTGACCCTGGCTTTTATTTACACTCTAGCCCAGAAAGAGCCTTTATCTAGTAATATGGCGACTTGAACAGGGCAAAGAGAAAAGCTAAATCCTCCTGAATTGGGGTTTAAAAAGTAAGAATTTTTTTCTCTTACAACTAAGTTTTATTAATTTTGATGGGACTACTTATTCTCCATGCATATTATGTTACATTATTTCACACTAAAATTACTGCAATGTTATCAATTCAAGCAGGATTGAGAAGATGAAATATTAATAAGGTTACTCCTCATCTAATTTTCAAAGCAGTGGCCTATATATAGGGCAGAAGCCGCAGAGAAGGACTCACTGGCAATGATATAACGATCAGGCTCTAAAGTGAACGTGACCACATAAAATTCTAACAGGCGATAAAAAGAATATTTGCTTCTAGAATATATATGTCTAGGACAAATCAGAAGTCAGGGAAGAGGAAGGTGGTAAACTGGATATGATTGATTTCCAAGACCAAGGTGTGTATGGGAATAAAAATCTGGTAGGACCTTGACTCAAGTTCAGATTTTGCCACTCCATACGATATTAATTTGGACAAAGTAATACAATTGAGCTTTAGTATTTTAATATAAAGTGGACTAAGAGGATAAACGCTCAACACACAGGGATATTGTCATGAACAAGTAATACTGAATGTGTGATAAACGTTTCAAAACTTTAAAGATGTCTAAATTCTATTTTTATTCATTTGAACATTAATGTATTACTCTGTATAAAATTTTATATTTTTAAAAGTTTAATGCTACCATTAATTAATTTAATTATTCAGCAACTATTTTCTGTGCACATATCATTCTCCTGGTACATCCTAAACTTATATTTCTGCAATAAAAGGAAAAAGATGATCAATTCTGACACTTTTATCTTTGTGTCATGTAAATCTGTTACATATCACTCATTTATTCAACAGATATTTATCGTGTGCCTACTATATGGAAAGATGCTGTTCTGGACCCTGAAGATATACGTGGTGGGGCAAAAGTAGGTTTACAGTTATATTTGAATGCTTTAGAATAGAACTTCAATAATGTATAGAAAATGATACTTATAAAAAATATAAAGAACGCAGGTTCTGAAAAGCCTGCCCCGTCTGCTGGTCCGTTGGTTTCTCTGAGATCGAGTGAGCCGCGGAGACCGCTGGAGCCCAGCTGGAATTGCTAGAGTTTGCACTTGTGCGTTTGGTCGTGGGAGTGGCTGTGGCGCCCCTCCCCCGCCCCAGGCGTCGCCAGTGTACCTACTCCTGCAGGAGATAAACTGTACTCAGCCAAGTTTGCAAGAGTGAGAGGAATTGGAGTGATTAGAAGTTGATTCACTGTAAAGGTTTATTGAAGTCAAAATGTCTCAAAAAAATCCATGGCGGTTCTGTGGTAGAGATGCAAGGAGATGAAATGACACGAATCATTTGGGAGTTGATTAAAGAAAAACTCATCTTTCCCTATGTGGAACTGAACCTGCACAGCTATGATTTAGGCATAGAGAATCGTGATGCCACCAATGACCAGGTCACCAAGGATGCCGCAGAATCTATAAAGAAGTACAACGTTGGTGTCAAATGTGCCACCATCACCCCGGATGAGAAGAGGGTTGAGGAGTTCAAGTTGAAACAAATGTGGAAATTGCCAAATGGTACCATCCAAAATATTCTGGGTGGCACCGTCTTCAGGGAAGCTATTATCTGCAAAAATATCCCCCGGCTTGTGACCGGATGGGTGAAGCCCATCATCATAGGTCGTCATGCGTATGGGGATCAATACAGAGCAACTGATTTTGTTGTTCCTGGGCCTGGTAAAGTAGAGATAACCTACACACCAAGTGATGGATCCCAAAAGAAGATGTACCTGGTACATAACTTTGAAGAGGGTGGTGGTGTTGCCATGGGGATGTACAATCAAGATAAGTCGATCAAAGATCTTGCACACAGTTCTTTCCAGATGGCTCTGTCTAAGAGTTGGCCTTTGTATCTGAGCACCAAGAACACTATTCTGAAGAAATATGATGGGCGTTTTAAAGACTTCTTCCAGGAGATATATGACAAGCAGTACAAATCCCAGTTTGAAGCCCAGAAGATCTGGTATGAGCATAGGCTCATCGATGACATGGTGGCCCAAGCTATGAAGTCGGAGGGCAGCTTCATCTGGGCCTGTAAGAACTACGATGGCAATGTACAGTTGGACTCTGTGGCCCAGGGTTACGGCTCCCTTGGCATGATGGCCAGCGTGCTGATTTGTCCTGATGGCAAGACAGTGGAAGCAGAGGCCGCCCACGGGACTGTAACACGTCACTACCGCATGTACCAGAAGGGACAGGAGACATCTACCAATCCCATTGCTTCCATTTTTGCCTGGACCAGAGGGTTAGCCCACAGAGCTAAGCTTGATAACAACAAAGAGCTTGGCTTCTTTGCAAAGGCATTGGAAGAAGTCTGTATTGAGACCACTGAGGCTGGTTTCATGACCAAGGACTTGGCTGCTTGCATTAAAGGTTTACCCAACGTGCAGCGTTCTGACTACTTGAACACGTTTGAGTTCATGGACAAACTCGGAGAAAACTTGAAGATCAAACTAGCTCAGTCCAAACTTTAAGGCCGTTCCTCAGCTGAGGAGGAGAAGCATTTTTGGTAACTAGGTCCACTGGTTTACATTTTTCTGTATAACACTCAAGGGAAGGGCAAAATCAATTTTGTAATTTATTTAGAAGTCAGAGTTTATCTTTTCTATAAGTTTACAGCCTTTTTCTTATGCATCCAGTCATGCCACTTCAAGAATGTGGCTGGGGACTTTTTAAATTTAAATTTTATTTTCTACTAATAGCTTAGGAATTGCTTCAGTGCTGATTCGTCCTCTGTCACTTTTTCTCCTGTTCTGACATAAATTACCAAAATGAAGGATGCTTGAAAGTAAACTACAGCCACAGTTCGGGCCCCTAAAATTGTGTCCAGTAGAAATTCACTGCCTTCCCCACTTTCCGTGGCCCGGGCTCCGGGTGCTGTTGGTGGAACAGGTGGCCCTTCATGTGAGCTACAGCCGCACCTTAAACTGTAAGAACTGGAACGACGAAGGTCCGTGCAGCTAAAATGTGTCAAAGACACAGCAGTCCTTGGGGTAAGGAGCTCCAGCTTGAGGCCACTGGGGAGTTTGGAATCCGGAATAAAGACCCCCTGCGGGTTTGTCCTCTGTGTGCCCCCTCCCCCCAGCCTCGTGTGGCCTACGGATGATGATCCCCCAAACAGCGGATGATGTTCCCCCAAACAGCGTGTTTTATTCAAGTGCAATAATACAAGCTGCACCTTTGTTTCGACTTCCTGCCTGTTTTATTTCTTTGATTTAAATGTGATTTTTCAGAAGTTCGTTTTAAACACTATTCTAGTCTGCTCTTCATCTAAACTGTTCATTTTAATTAAAATTAAGTGCTAATGACTAAAAAAAAAAAAAAAAGAATGCAGGTTCTGAAATCTAACAGATCTGGGTTAAAATTTTGGATATGTGGCATATAATGTATGGAGAACCTAGGTAAATTGGCTATATAGAGTACATCTAATTTTTATCACATATTAAAAAGATAGTAATAAAAGTACTTACTGCATAAGACTAGCATGAGTCTTGAATGAAAAATTATGTAAAGCTCCTAGGACAGCATCTAACATGTAAGTACTATTGCTATGATTATTTTATAAAATTATGGTTAAATTGTATTTTTAAACACAAACTGTGAGATATATGTACATAAAATACATTGTGAGTATAAATTATGTTTTCAGAAGTTAATTTTAACTTCACTATACTTTATATAATACTTCTAATAAATTGAGTTATGTTTTGTCCATTTCATCACTAATTATATTATATTACAGTGTTTCTCTAGAGACAGTTCAATATTATTTACATTTTATCTCACATGCAGTCATTCCATGAGAAAAATAGCAACAGAAGAAATAATGAGCTTTCTCATTTTATAATGTATTTCTTTTCATTTATTTCCTTGACATTAATCATCATTTATGTGCTTAGCTTTTCTCCTAACAACATCTCCCACCCCTACCTTCACCCCACTGGGATGTCCACATGAAGAAAGGTATTGTTGGGTCTGAGTTTCCTCTTCCCAGCATGAAGCAGCCAGACTATTCTACAGTATCACCAAGAAAAATATCCCATATTTAAATAATAGAAAGAACATAGGTTTCACAACTGGTGGACCAGAGTTAGATCCTTTCTACCGCTGTGACCTTAAGCTACTAATGCAATGTTTAGGTGGACAGATACCTGAAGTTTAAAATATGACCACTGTCACGATGTATGATGGTTCCTGAGACAACGAGTAATTGAGGAGGACATCCAGACCCCAGATTGATGACACAGAAACATCATCATGACTGTCGTGGAGGATGCTGTCTTGACTATTCCTTTGGGAGGTAACTGAATCCATGTGGAGAAGACTGAACATGAACATGAGGATGATTTAAGACTTTTGGTTTGAAGGTTATTGGTTAGCTAATTAAGACACCGCAGGGGTCAGGACCCCACATATAGGGAATGATGGTTTTATTATTGGAAGTCAGTTTTCAATCACTTAGAGTAGTAAGTCACATATCTGCATGGGTAGCTAACCTCCTTTAAATTCATTTCTTTGGTTAATAATAAGGTACATTTATATTCCTGAACACATTTTATTTAAATAAGGAAGAAAAAAAGGTTGAAGAAATTCTAAATATTAATATAAAGCTTGGTCAACAATTAAGAATTTGTCATAGACAACTTATCTATGTAAGATTTATGTGTATAATTGAAAATTTTAACAATTCAGTACTATTTCTTTACTCACACAACCATTAAAAATTTAGGGCATCATACCCAAATCTCTCAGAAGATAAAAAAAATAATCAAAGATTCAAAGGTCATTTAAAAAAATCATGATTATTTTTAATGCAAATATAAGATTACATTATTTCCAAACTTTTATTTTATTTTTTGTTGAGTTTATTGGGGTAATACTGGTTAACAAAATTATACAGGTTCCAGGTGCACAATTCTAATATCATATCTGTACACTGTATTGTGTGTTCAACACCCTTAGTTTCCTTCCATCACCATTTATCCCCCTATACCTTCTTCCACAGCCCCTTTTCTACCCCTGGCACTCACCACACTGTTATCCATGTCCATGAGTTTTTTTCTTTTTTTGCTCAACCCTCCACATCCCACGCAGCCCACACCCTCGACAGCTGTCAGCCTGCTCTCTATGTAGGAGTGTCTCTATTTTGCTTGTTAGTTCCTTTTGTTTATTAGATTCCACATATGAGTGAAATTATATGATATTTGTCTTTCTCTGACTGGCTTACTCTACTAAGCATAATAATCTCCAGGTCGATCTACGCTGTCACAAAGGGTAAGATTTCCTTCTCTTTCACCTTCTTCCTATTGTTGTTGAGTCTTGATTGCTATTGGCCTGTTCGTGCATGGGATCAACCCACAGGCTGGCTGACTGTGAGGCTCCACCACGACCCTGGCGTGCGAGCTGCTGTACAGCTGACCACACAGAGCAGAATTCTTCTCAGCAGGTGTGGTGCCTGCTGAGATCTCCCTTTCGATATGCTGTTTGCAAGGTTTATTGGATTTTGCTCTGATGTTGTCTGAAGCTGACCACTGGGTATGTCTGCTTTGGGTCTTTTGGGAGGTACCGTGGTGCAGGCCAATATAAGATACTGCCTGTGACTGGCTGTCAACAACCTATTTGGAGCTTCAAGTGATAGTGTGTGGCTACCTCTGCTGGGCCTAGGCGCATGTGGGTAGGACCAAGCTGCACACCAAGCTTTTACCAGTACAGAGCCTGGGGGCAGGTCAGAAAAAGTCCCAAGTCACCCCCGATCCCCCTCTGCCTGCCAGGTGCCCATTAGGCCCAGTCACTGAAAGAGCCTCTGGCTGTACTCCTCAGCAGGGCTTAAGCCACACAGGGTTGGGTGAGGAGTCCAGAGAGGGGGCTATTGCTTTCCTCAGGCTGATGCCACCTGTAGAGGAGTGCTCCACCCAAGAAAGCTGGTGTCTGAAGTACAGGAGAATAATTCAGCAGGGGGATCCTGGCAGCTGTCCCTTCAGCTTTCTCCCCAGAGCCACAAACCCCAGTCATTGCTCACACAACTCTAGTCCACTCGGCCCTCCCTCTGTCAGAGCCCAGGATGAGTGACTGGGAACAAAATTGTGTGTGTAGGCTCTTTACGAGGGTATCTCCAGCGGACTCCCATCTCTCTCTGGAGGACAGAAACCTAGCTGGTTTTCACAGTCATTTCATCTGGGTGCCTCTTCCCAGCTCTAGTGCTCTGAGCTGGGAGCCTGGCTTTCAGTTTAGACCCCACACTTCGGCAGCTGAAATTTCCCTCTGGAGCCTCAGTTATGTCTGTGGGAGTGGGGCCAAGCCTTCCTGCATCTCTGCCTTTCCTACCAGTCTCGATGTGGCTTCTTCTGTAAATCCTGGATTTTAAGGCTTCTCTTCAGCTAGTCTTCAGTTGGTTGTTCAGGAGGATTACTCTATATTTTAGTTGTATTTCCAGTTTGGTCCTGGGAGGAGGTGAGTGTAGCTTCTAGCCACTCTGCCACCCTTTTGGATTTCCATTTTCAAACTTTTTTTAAAGAAGAAAAATGCTATGTAGAGTTTTAATGTCTGTAATAATTTCTTGTCAGTATGTAGCTAATTTTCTCCTTGCAGTATTTTTTAATATTTATTTTTTAGTTCTTAATGCCTTTTCTTTTGAGGAATTGTTTCTTATCTTATTGTATCTGCTTCTAAATGTTTCTTCCCACATTTTGGAGGTACCCTTCCTCATATGCTGATACATTTTGTAAATCATTTTATAAAAATTCAATATGCCTAAATATAACAAAAGCTTGAATAGGTATTTAATAAAAACCTGAGAAATAACATGCTTTATTTCAAACACAGATTATTTCAAACCTATTAGATAAACAAATGTAAAAAAAAGTTATTTTTAGCCTTGGTTGGGTATCTCAGTTGGTTGGAACATCGTCCCAGACACCAAAAGTTGCAATTGCTGGTCAGCGCACGTACCTAGGTTTCGGGTTCAATCCCTGTTTGGGGCATGTATGGGAGGTGGCCAATCAAATTTCTCTCTCTGTTGATGTTTCTCCCCCCCACCCCCTCTGTCTGAAACACTAAAAACATCCTTAGGTGAGGGTTAAGAAATTCATTTCTATATCTTTCCTTCAAGTATTTAGGTCCCTCAAAGAGTATATACACTTTTTCTTTACATAGCAATTTTACATCTAAAGTTCTGCTGCAACTTTTATTTTATCCTCTCAGATCTATGAGCTAAAAGCAATTAATACTCCTTTTTAAAAGCAGGGCTCTGAACCAGTGAAGAGTTTAAAGAACTTACTGAAGTTTACAGAGTTAATTATTACAAGGCCTACACTGGCACTGTTTAGGCCCTCCTAGTCCTTATCAGGTCCAACTCTAGATCTCCGCAGAACCAGCTCGGCCATGGAAAAGTGCAGCCCTGTAGTGCAAAACTAGAATTTCTTAAATTACTTTGTACCTCATTTTACCTATCACATTCGTTATGGATTCTTTGTAGATTCTCTGCTACAACACCAAAGCACGACACAGCCTAGGATAGACCCCATGAGCCTGGCCTTCGTTTCCTGGAATGAATCTAGGTATCTTC